TGTGGCAACTGGAGGGGACTAGACATTCTATTATGTTGACCCAGGTGAACTCGAGCTATCTTGGCAGCATTATAGTCTAATTCATGAGGACGGAATGGCTTTCTGTGTGCTTTAGCATTTTCTAACTGTCATAATTTTTATTTTTCGTTGTATTTGTTTGTATATTTTTACTATTGTAAGTAGGATATTTAAAAACTGTATTTACTCTGTGTTGCATGTGCGTGTATATGCATGACACCGTGCATGTGTGGAGGTCAGAGAACGCCTTATGGGAATCAGCTCTCCTTCCACCATGTGGGTTCCAGGGATTGAACTCAGGTTGGCAGGTCTGTGGGCAAGTGCCTTTGCCCACTGAGACATTTCACCAGTCTCAATTGTTTCCTCAACTTTGTTTTGTTTTTTAGCAGTGCTGGGAATTGAACTCAGGACCTGTTGTATGCTAGGCAAGCGCTCTACTGCTGAGCTATTACATCTCTAGCTCTCTCAAATTTACTTTCAGATTATTCATTGCCAGTGCATAGACACACAAATGGTTTGGAATATTGATCTGGTGTTCTGAAACATTTTATTTATCACTTCTAATAATTTTTTCATGCATCACATAGGTTTGGCTATACATGAGATCATGTTATTTGCAATAGAAACCATTTTCATCCTCTCTCTCTCTCTCTGGTTTTTGAGACAGGGTTTCTCTATGTAACAATCCTGGCTATTCTGGAACTCACTTGTAGACCAGGCTGGCCTCAAACTCACAGAGATCCTCCTGCCTCTGCCTCCTAAGTGCTGGGATTAAAGGCATGTGCAACCACCCACCCCAGCTCCTTTCTTCTCAACTTATATCCTTTTGAATTTAATTTTCTTGCCTAACCCAGTATTTCATTGAGCATTAGTGGTAAGATCAGACATTCCTATCTTGTTCTTTATCATACAGGGAAAATTTTAGTCTTTCACCAGCAAGTATGACATTATATGTTGGGTTGCCTTTGTTCTAAAACAATGGTTTCTATGAATACATTACCCTACTTTGATGATTTTTTTTCTTCCACTCCACGAAAGAACATCCTACTGCTTTCTCGCTTGCTTGTTGATGTGAGAGCATCAACTGTCACCCTATCCGCCATTCAGATGCAGATGATCCGTCTCTGATTTCTGGTTACTTTTGAGATTACCGCTTTATGTTTGATGATCTGAGGTTTCATTCTGATGCGTGTAGGCTGCATCTTTTATATTTCCCTGCAGAGTTCTGTTAGACTGCCATAGATAATGTCTATTCTAATACGTAACAGTCTAGTCTCCACCGATTCTGTCATTTCTCTCCTCCACGATTCGCATTTTTGTCTCCGAGTTACTCATTTTTTCTATGTTAATTCTTTGAGGTCTGGCATAAAGCTGAGCTTCTTCCGAAAGGATTATTATTTGCTTTTACTGTTTGTCAAGTGTGAAACTTCGTTTTAAATCTCTGACTCTGGAAAATACCTGAACCCATCTGATCTGATCTACCATCAAGATGGAGGCGCCTCGGCATTCCCTGCCCCCTCATACACTAAGCCATCAATACTACCTTTGAGCAGGACCAGTCACTGAAGAAACTCTTCAGCGTGCCCCCCTACTCTGACTGGGAGGCTTGCAAGGTCCTGGACACCAGACTCAACCTGGAGGAGCAAGTTGAGACTTAGTTCTAATGGTGCGAGCACAAACAGAAGCAGAAGGGCGCCACGGAGCATGCGCTCTATCTTATCCTGGTCAGCCTGGCTCTGCTAGCTCACAATTGAGCCCTCCTCCTACCCTACCCAGCTCAGCCTCTGGCTCTACCTTTTACTAGTCATTTTACTGCCAGTGCCTACAACAAGGATGGAGAACCAGGGCCCTCTCCATCCACCCAAGAAGGCCTCCTTGCTGGCGAGCGAGCACAGTTGCTTTTAATGGGGCCTGAGTGTGGGTCCAGGTGGGAGTCTTCCCGCAACAACCATACCCCCTGGCTCCTGGAAGTTCTGGGAATGTTAAGGAGGCTCGGCATCTGAGTAACAAGGCAGAATTGGTATGTCACTAATCTCCAAGGATTCCTGAATCTCTAGAGGAGGCCTTCTGCAGACCCTCACTGACAGGTGCCTGGTTGCAGCTTTCCGCGTTCTCTTCTGAGAGGGCTCATATCCCTGAAGCTGGCCCCAGACTTAATGTAGCCCAGATGACCTCCAACTCCTGGTCCTTTGCCTTCACCCTCTCATTTTGGATTTTTGTTTTATTTTGTAGTTGTTTTGTTTCTGGCCTGATATCTGAAGCCTCCACCTTTCAGGTGCTAGGCTGCTCAACTGTTGGTGAGACTTTTGGTTGTTTAGATTTTTCCTCCCATTATTAGATCTTTTTTTTTTTCCTCGCTTAGCACTCATCTTACTTTTAGTCAAGCCCCTCTCCTGTGAAGTTTCATGCACCACCTTGCCTTAGAGTTAGTTTTCTGGTGTGTTTCTGTGTGTTTATTAACACTTTTTCAATTTGCTTTGTAGGGACCTGTTGGGCTTTCATTTCTATTCAAGGCATACTGAAAATAAAATTATTTATAGAAACTAAAAATATACCTTGAGTGATAAAATGTATACACAGTAATGAGTATCATCCATGAATCATGTAAAGGATGGATTCTCAACAGCTGCATAGACATTTCAGTCCCTTGTATCCAGTAGGCAAGCTTCCTTGCTATCCTCTTTGCTGTTGTTTGAGAGCCATTTTTCCCATGATGCACTGCGAGCAGGCCCTTGGCAGGACCTCTGCTGTATGGTTTCCTATTATATCCCAGCGTTGGTGGCTCCAGCATGGTCTGTTTCTCTCTATGATCCACTGAAGCTTGATGTCCCCAAGGCTTTGCACAAACCATTGGGATGAAATCTGGCCCTGGCTGTTCCACCACCAGCTCCACTGACTGCTTCTGACCTCTGCCGGTTCCTTCCTTTTATCTCAGCACAGGACAGCGTGTCGGGAGAGTTGCAAGGGGCCTGGGTAGACATTTCAGAATTGCCTATTGAAGGCAGCGAATCTCCTTACTTGTTAGGGAAGGAAACCCAAATCCTGCCATTTGTTTTACCTCCAAGCAGCTGACCTAGAAATATTCAGAAAAAAATAATGGTCTATTTTCCTCCTTGAAATCTTTGTCAAAGGAGACTCTATACCGCCTTTTGGGGATTGTGGATGTGGTCAAATGAGTCCCTTCTCTGCATTCACACCCTTGAGATCTGAGGCTTCAGATTTCCCCACAAGAGGCAAAGTTTCTCCAGGAGCTTGAGTCTGGCTTGGCTATTGGCTTGTTTTTGTCAACAGTAGGACATTAACAAGCATGGCCCAAGCTGGGGTGTGAAAGGTCTTGATTACTGAAGTGTATCCTCTTCTGCTTGGAGATCCGACACCACCACATGAAGGAGGCCAGGCCAGCCTGCTGGAAGCGAGAAGCCATGTGCAGGCACTGGTCCGGTCCGCAGTTACATTTTGTTAGGAGCAAAAGGTAACTGCTCACACTCTCTTCAGAACATCCATTAAAGAGACACACGACACATCCCTCCCTTAGGACATCTTTGTTGTTTTGATTTTCTGTCCTGCCCCCAGTTTCTGAGATGTAAAAGTAGTCACTCACCAAAATACTGTATGGCTCAACTGCACTAAAGACTTTGCCAATTCTCAATATAAGTATAAAATTTAAATTGCACAAATTAAGACATTCTATATATGCCTTTACAAACACATTGGAGAATATGAAATATATATGTGTTT